ATATGTATATACTTTGGGCATAGCTGTATATCTGTTGTTTGTCGTTTATACTAACTGCAATTGGGTCGTTGCATGCCGTGGGAGGGTTCGAGCGTCATAAAGGTTACTGTGCATTGCACTCAGCGGCATTGGTTTTCGAATTTTTCGTGTGAGCCAAATCTCAGGATGAGTCACTTTTTGGGTAGTAAGTATGGGATGATTTGGAAAATTTGGAGATCCACGCCTCGATGGGAGTAGACTGCGATCGGAGAGCATGTATAGGTAACATATTGGTTTGTCAAATAGGGCCATTTCCAATCTAAAATTAGAATCAGCAGATCGAAGACCGGAACCGTGCACACATGTGTGTGTGTGTGTTGCTGTTGGGAGCTATAGACATATACTATTACAGGATACAAAGGGTCTTAGCCCTATCTCACAATGACCCGTGTGCTCGGCATCGCGTTTGTGCAGCTCCATAATCGAACCATAAGGTATACGGCGAAAACCGATGCACAATTGCGGGGAGCGGAGGCGAAAATGGCGGGCGAGGTTTACAAACGACTCCGGCAGAAGGAGTACTTCCGCCCGTCTGATATGTACAGAGCACTGGTAACGGATGGCAAGGCGGTATGTGTACCTGGGTACACGGTGTCCTGGGGTACTATTCTTGTGGGTGTACTAGGACAATTGGTCCTGGGGTTAGTGTTTGTATTGTTAGTAATGCTCAGCTGATACGGTTTGCTATGCGGGCAAATCCCGCACAAACCACATGCGCAAACAAAGACCGTAGCTCGTTTGATGGCTATACCATACAGTAGGTCTAGTGAGCCACACACTCCGATTGAGTAGCGAGCATCATTGCACACGATGCACGTCAATCTGTCATGCGTGCGTACTATAAAGTGTTAGTATCGAGACCGCGTTGTGAGGTGTATCACACCATCGCCTTATGTCGAATACTCATTGGATATGCACAGGATACTTTAGAAGCAGGTGCAAATGCTCTACCATTCCTAGCAACAATGTGCCAGTCTCTCGGAAACATCAACTACAATGCCTTTGATTTGGTGCTCTACATAGCAGCCTTCCTGCACTTCCGGTACGTCTCTTTGACAGATGGTAATTGCTCTGAGCATGCATATCTTGTGCTGTTTACGAGTTTTGTTTATGTGTATATACAGACTTACACATACACACACATACACACACACACACACACACACACACATATATATATATATACACACACACACACACATAC